ATATCTTAGGCATTGGTGAGTTGAAATGGACTGTTATTGGCCATTTTGAGTATGATGACCACATGGTTAACTATGACGGGAATGACAAATTGAAGAGCAATGGTGTTCCATTCATTGTCAAAAAATATATATTCAGATTAGTCATGAGGTACAACACTGTCTGTGATAGGATAATATCCATGCACCTACAGGGAAAGCCCAGTTAATACCACTGTTACTCAAATTTATGCAGCAACCACTGAGGCCAGTGAAGGTGAAATAGAAGAATTCTACCAATTTCAATCTGAAATTGATCAAACATGCAATCAAGATGTATTGATCGTTACTGGTGATTGAAATGCAAAGGTTGGGAACAAAGAGGGGAAGGATCAGTAGTTGGAAAATACGGCCTTGGTGATAGAAATGTTACTGGAGATCGCATGATAGCATTCAGCCAAATCAGTGATTTGTTCATTTCAAATACCTTCTTTAGACAGCATATGAGATGACTTATACACATGGACCTCACCAGATGAAATACACAGAAATCAAATTGACTACATCTGTAGAAAGAGATGGTGGAAAAGCTCCTTATCATCATCAGCCAAAGCAAGGCCAGGGACAGATTGCGGAACAGACCATCAATTGCTCATATGCAAATTCAAACAAGCTGAAGAAAATGAAAACAAGTCCACGAGAACCAAAATAAGACCTTGACTATCAGCGGTTCGAAACTACCAGCTGCTCCGCGGGAGAAAGATGAGGCTTTCTACTCCCGTAAAGATTTACACCCTCGTAAACCCTGTACAGGGTCGCTATGGGTCGGAACCGACTCGATGGCACTTAACAACAACAACATATGCCACCTGAATTTATAGAGATTATCTGTAGAACAGATTTGATACATTAAACACTAAAGACCAAAGACCAGAAGAGTTGTGAAATGACATTAAGAACATCATACATAAAGAAAGCAAAAAGTCGTTAAGAAGACAAGAAAGATGTAAACTATCACATAATTCACAATAAAACATTAAAAAAAACAAAAAGACAGGAAAGAAGGAAAAGATCCAAATGGATGTCAGAAGAGACCCTGAAACTTTCTCTCCAGCATAGAGATGCTAAAGCAATTGGAAGAAATGAGGAGGCTATTAAGAGCTAAACAGAAAATTTCAAACGTTAGCAAGAGAAGACAAAGTCAAATATTACAATGAAATGTGCAAAAATCTGAAGTCAGAAAACCAAAAGGGAAGAAGAACATGCTCAGCATTTCTCAAGTTGGGGAACTGAAGAAAAAATTCAAGCCTCGACTTTCATTATTGAAGGATTCTCTGGACAAATTATTGAATGATGCAGAAAGTATCAAAAGATGGAAGGAATACACAGAGCCACTGTACCAAAAGGAAATGTGATCAAGAGCCAATGATACTGAAGCAGGTACAAGGTGCATTGAAGAAGTTAGCAAAGAACAAGGTACCAGGAATTGACGGAATAAAAATTGAAATCTTTCAAGAAAGTGAGGCAGCACTGGAGGCACTCACTCATTTGTGCCAAGAAACATGGAATACAGCGATCTAGCCAACTGATTGAAAGAGATCAGTATTTGTGCCCATTCCAAAGAGAGGTGACCCAAAGGAATGAGGAAATCATTGGACAATATCTTTGATATCCCATGCGAGTAAAGTTTTACTAAAGGTAATAGAGAAACAGCTGCAAGCATACA